TTTCCTCCAACAAACTGCTGTAATTTCTCTTCTAGTTTAATTTGTCGTTCTTCTTGTTTCTTTTCTTTTTCCTCCAACAAACTGCTGTAATTTCTCTTCTAGTTTAATTTGTCGTTCTTCTTGTTTCTTTTCTTTTTCCTCCAACAAACTGCTGTAATTTCTCTTCTTGTTTAATTTGTCGTTCTTCTTGTTTCTTTTCTTGTTTAATTTCTCGTTCTTCTTGTTTCTTTTCTTTTTCCTCTAACAACTGTTGTAATTTCTCTTCTCGTTCTTCTTGTTTCTTTTCTTTTTCCTCTAATAACTGTTGTAATTTCTCTTCTTGTTTCTTTTGCTGTTCTTGTATTGCTGCTATCAAGTCTACTATGCTGTAGTTTGATTTGCCGCTTCTCGTTTCCATTTTTTTTCGTCCCACTCTCTGACACCAATTTGTTACGTCTCCGTTTGTTAATTGATTTCCCGTAAATTCGTTCCGATGAGACTAGCGACACAAGTCCTTACTTAATAAAACTGGTTTATTCTTTCTGAATATAACTTTGCAATACACTTAATTTCAACAGTCACTCTGTAACAAACGCTATAATTATCACGTGCTTAATAATATTCTCTCAGACTGCAGTTCAATTACTCATTACCTCTGTTGTTCTGTCACGTTGTGAACGTCTTATATATACAAGACTAACACATATCTAGTAAATGCTAGGGCATTCTTGAAGGAACAGGATATTTCTCGAAAGCTTGGCGTGATACTAGTCACGTGACCTCGCTGACGCAACAGTATATTGGTGCCATGAACTTTGACAGAACTAAAAGTATCAACTGAATTGGACAAGATATAATGATGCTATGAACTTTGTTAAAAATAAATAGTATCAACTGAACAAGAGTTAAAGGTGTCACAAACTTTGATAGAATTAAATATTATCAGCTAAACAAGGTACTAATAGTACAATAAACTTTAATTGAAGTAGATTCTACTAACTATAGAAGGTATAATGATATCATATAATAATATTTATAATTATATAATGATATTATAATATCAACTGAATAAGGTAATAATGATACTTTGAACTTTGTTAAAACTAAATAATATCAACTGAACAAGGTATGATGATACAGTGAATTTTATACAACTAAATAGAATCAACTGAAGAAGATGTAATGGTGCCATGAACTTTGATAGAACTAAATGGTATCAACTGAAGAAGATGTAATGGTGCCATTAACTTTGATAGAACTAAATGGTATCAACTGAAGAAGATGTAATGGTGCCATGAACTTTTATATAACTAAATAGTATTGTTGCGTCAACAAGGTCACGTGACTAGTGTCACGCCACCTGCTTTCTAGAACTATCCCGTTCCTTCGGGAGTGCTCTAGCATTTACTAGATTGGGGGGTGGTCTGGTATATATAAGATGGTCACGGCGTGACGTGACAGTGAATGTGTGTGTAGGTAGTGAGTAATTGATCTGCAATCAGAGAGTATTGTTGAAGTTCGTTATAGCGTTTGTTTTAGCGCGAATGTTGAAATCAAGTGTATCGTAAACTTATATTCAGAAAGAATAAACCAGTTTTATTAAGTAAGGACTTGTGTCACTAAAGTTTCGTCGAAACGAAGTTACGGAAAGTTAATTATAAAAAGGAGACGTAACAAATTTGTGTCAGAGAGTGGGACAAAAAAAATGGAAACGAGAAGCGGCAAATCAAACTACAGCATAGCAGACTTGATGGCAGCAATTCAAGAACAGCAAAAGAAACAAGAAGAACGAGAAGAGAAATTACAACAGTTGTTAGAGGAAAAAGAAAAGAAACAAGAAAAACAGAAATTAAACAAGAAGAGAGATTACAACAGTTGTTAGAGGAAAGAGAAAAGAAACAAGAAGAGAGATTACAGCAGTTGTTGGAGGAAAAAGAAAAGAAACAAGAAGAGAGACAACAGCATCCTGCATGGTAGAGGGGTGTGCTTGCTTCACTTGTATCTTAAGTTGGGGACTGTCCAAGGCATCTACGAACTGATCCCTCAGCAACAACTTGATGAGATCGGGTGGTGCAGTTGGGTAGGCCTTGTGTGCCATGCTTTCCAAGTCCTGTGCCAGCTCTTGCAGCTCCGTGCTAAACCTAGCCCTATAAACTTCTGACTGATTTTGGGTTTCGTACCTGAGCTCTAGAGCCACTACCAGTGCTCTATAGTTGTATCTGTCGGCTGCTGTCAACTGTCCAAGTATTTCCAGTGGGTTGTCCCTTCAAGCTCGTTGCCAGGTATACTGCTTTCTGCTCCTCTGTCCATTCATTCATCTCTGCCAGTAGCTCAAATTGTGCTCTGTATGCTTCCCACGGTGCCTTCCCATCGAATTCCTGTGGCTTCCTTTGCACTGGATCACTCCTATTACTGACATTGATATCTGGGATGTGACTTCTAACGGAACTGAATATGTCTGCATTAGGGTTTAGCTGCGGGCTCTGTAAGGGGCTTGCCATTGTCTGGGGCTGATTAAGTCGATGGTCAATGTATCCTCCTTGTGTAAAAGACAATAGATCGTCCTTTAACGTATCTAATTCGCTTTTAAATTTACTAATGTTTTCCGTTTGTACTTCTTGTTTCCTTTCTTGTTCCAGTTGCCACTGCTGTAGTCTCTCTTCTTGTTTCTTTTCTCGTTCTTCTTGTTTATTTTCTTTCTCCTCCAACAACTGCTGTAATCTCTCTTCTTGTTTATTGTGTTGTTCGAGCTGCCACTGTTGCAGGTTTTCTTACAACTGCTGTTGTCTCTCTTCTTGTTTCTTTTCTCGTTCATTTTTTCGTTCTTCTTGTTTCTTTTCTCGTTCATTTTCTCGTTCTTCTTGTTTCTTTTGCTGCTCTTGTATTGCTGCCATCAAGTCTGCTGAGCTGTAGATTGATTTTCCGCCTCTCGTTCCCATTTTTTTTCATTCCACTTCTGACACCAATTTGTTACGTCTCCGTTTGTTAATTTACTTTCCCTAACTTCGTTCCGACGAAACTTTTGCGACACAAGTCCTTACTTAATAAAACTGGTTTATTCTTTCTGAATACAACTTTACCGATACACTTAATCTCAACAGTCGTTCTATAACAAACGCTAGAACGTCTCTCGTGCTCG